TGACAAATAAAAAATATGAGAGAACAAAAGAAAAAAAATCTAACAACAATGTTGCAATACTGCTGTGTGTTGTTGTTGCTGGCTTTTTTAAGAATCTTTTTTGAGCTTTAGATCGCTTTTTTGATAATTAATTTAACAGGAAATGAATCAAAAGAATTTTTAGAGAAAAAATCTAAATAGAAATATGAAATGAAGAATAAGGAAAAATACAAAATTAAATTAATGCATATGCAAATTATAAAGAACATCAGAAAATAACTTATCTAATCGTTTCATAATTTTCTTTCAAAAATATCTATTAAAAGTTATTAAAAACTAAAGATTTTTTAGGAATCAAATATTTTTAATAAATTTTATTTTAATATAAATGTTCTTTAAATAATTTAAAAGTGAAAAATTTTATTATAAATTACATCCATCATAAATTTTGTGCAATGTTTTCAAATATTTCTAACCAATTATATATATAAAATATATAATTTTGTTGTTTTGTTTTTAAATGTCATTCTAAGACATTTTTCCCTGAATTGTTTAAATTTTTCTTTTAATTTTTATTTTTATTAAATAATTTAAAATCCAAATATTTGTCTTTTTTTTAAATTTGTATGTTTCTTTCTTCCACAATCTTTTTGGAATATAAATTCCTTTATTTTTTAATAATTTTAAAATAAATATATATATATATATTTTTTTAATTCCTTTAAATGTTTTCCTAAACACAGAAATAAATTATTTATTTAAATACATTGGTTATGGTGTGGTAATCCAAAACAAAAGACTTAAGACCCGAACTTGTTGCGAGGGTGTTACATTTACACAGCTGGTTGGTTGGTTGGTAGGTTGAATGTGCTAATGCACCACTACTCCCACTCACACACACACACATGTAATTTCTTTGATACTCTCCAACAACATTTTAAGGCAACACACACATGCCTGGCATATGGTTTCATTCGATTTTTTTAAATAAACAATATTAATTTTTAATAATTTTTTTTAATTCATATTTTTTCACTAAATTTAGCCCACTTTATCGTTTTTTATAAAATCAATTTATACCTCTACTTTTTAATTTTTTTGTTGAAAGAAAAAAAAATATTTCCAAAAATTTTTATTTTGCACTTGTTGTTTTTTTTCTTTTTTGGTTTCTTTGAGGTTTATTTTTTGGCTTAATATTTTGTTTTAATAAATTATTTATTTTTTCGAAAAAATCTTTGGTTTTATATTATTAAGTGGCTTCCAAAATAAAATTCACTGTTTATATTAATAAAACACGTTATTTTTTTTGTAATACCAAAAAAAAAAAGATCGTTCCCGCTTTTTTTTCAAATAAATACGTTGTGACAATTTTTGTATTGTTTTGAATGAAAAATTATGCGCTTAGCCGAACGACCTTGTCAAGACCACGTTATAAAGACGACTAAAGGTATGTAAAGAGTTGTTGGCTGCGACTGTTAGTCTCACAACAGCTAACAGCTACCAAACGAAACAAACAACCAGGCAGGCAAGCAACCTACCTACCAACCAACCAACTCGTATACTCTGAGCCTCAATTGATCAAACCAAAATAAAGCAACAACAACACAACAAAAAACCACCACCATTATCACATTTAGCTTGCGCTAAGTCTTCGTTGTTGTGTAGAGATGTTGAAGTGTGAATATCAGCACGGTTATTGTGTAGAGTATGTGGACAGACGATCGTGGACTATGTGCTTTACTCATCGGAGGAGAGGCGAGCTCACAAAAAGATCACATGTTTCTTAAAAGTAAAGTAGTGGAGAGTTCGTCGTTTAGCTACTGAGCAGAAAAAGAAAAATAGTCATACTTAATGAAGTGGGCATTGTGAAGGGAGGAATATTGTTGTCGTGATTAAATAATTATTATGCAATTTAGTACATACTATGTATATAAGAAAATCTAAAGAAAGTATATGAGAAAAAATGGCATTCTGTGTAAAGAGAGAAGAAAAATACTGAGAAAAAAATTGAAAGGGTTTTGAATCAAATTCGGCGGCCATATGGAGATAGGAATTTGTCGATCATTTTTATTTAAAACTATTAAGAGATTTAAAATGCCATAGAAATATGGTATATAAAATGAATATGATCATTGTGGAAAATGGGTAAAATATATGTGCATAATTTATATTTTTTAAGAAAATATTAACATCTGTCTCATTTAGCCGAATTAATAAATTCTCTGTGTTCCTTACAGAAAATAGGAAATAGGATATAGAAAATAGCAAATTTAATAATAAAAAATGATTTATTTAGACCATAAAAAATATATATTTCTACACCTGTACCATTAAACTGATATACTAAATTAAATAAAAAATATTTAAATATATTTTAAGATATATGGAAATAAGAGATTTTTTTCATTAATATCAATACATTTCTATTCCAATTATAATTATTGGTTTAAAGTGAATTTTGAAAAATATACAAAAATCTGGTGTTTCTGAGGTCATAATCTAATTTATTTTAAAGATTACAATATTAAACAAATCGGAAGAAGTTTAAGGTTTAATCTTTCCCCATGAAAACAAAATCTTATAAAAAGGTTTGATAATTTTTTGTAAAAAATTCATGAAAAATTTGTTTTTGAGGTCATTGAGTGACCATAATCCCTTAAGGGAGTTATTTTAATTTGATAATGATTTAATGCAATATTTTTATAATTATATATACTCCATTTCCTGACACGAATGCATTCATCGTTTTTATACCCTCAACTTTAAAAGACATTTTTCCATCGAAGAGCAAACTAAGCTTACATGAATTATAGACATATATAATTATTTAGAATAGACTTGAGTTCCATTCCAATACAGGTGACCTCAAGGTTCTAAATAATGAAAACTAAAACTTGTCATTTGTATTTGGGATGCAACAACAAATTGACATAAATTCAATTCTCCAAAACTATAAAAAATCTTTATGCATTTTATTTTTTTGAAAAAAATTGAATAATACATTTATAACATAAACATAATTAGTTATGCAAAAATACATGAACCTGTTCTTGATTTAATTCAAATTGGATACTTGCGGTATTGAATTTATTATACTATAAAAATTTATACTATAATAATATCTATTATTCTATCATGTCTTTATTACTTATGTTTATTTCGAAATATTTAAAAAAAGAACAAGGGATGACGCAAATCGTTCTTCCAAAAAATTCATATAAATTAAGTTGCAATAAAATTTATATGCACAAAAAATTATAATGAAATATGACTCAGAAAAACTAAAAATAAAATGCATACAAATACCATTTTTTGTATAAAAACTACAAATACTGTCATGCTATAGCAATTTTTACGTGGAAATTTTTGGTTCAAAGAATTAACAATTCCAATAAAACTTGCATCATACTGACATAAAGTTCATTAAATCTCGATAAAATGCTTATTTACATTCATTTTAAATAAACTATAAGTTTCCACAAAAAAATACAATTCGAAATTCAAAATACATAGAGTGCCCTTTTTAGGTATTTTATAATTTTTATAGGCTTTTTTACTCATTATGTATTAAAAATTGATTAGGAAATAAATTAATATAAAAAAATGTACATAAAAAAACAAAATTCAATTTTCTTTTGTTTAATATTTAAAATTTTAAAATATCTCTCTTCTAATCCACTAAATACCCTCAATAAACCTGAACGATCATCATTTTTATCATACAACCATTTGGTTTGACGACTTCCAACATGTTGCAAATAATAAACCCTTATTTTCAAAATTCCAATTCAAGCATTGGTTGACGATCAAACTTTCATACACAAAATTACAACACTCAATTTAGGCAGGCATACAACCAGGCACACATTTCCTCATTTATATCGTACAACCAAACAATTGGATGAAAAGAGAAAAAACATATGTCTCCTATCAAGACAAACAGAGATAGACTGTGTATAACAGTTACCAGAGGCTTTGCATGCGAGCATGCACATTACGGTAGCACAGTTGAGCACAACAGAGAGAGTAAATTATAAACGAGAGTACAATATTCAACCAATAGCCAAACGTTGCAGTCGGGCCATATGGCTGTGCCACAGCCACATACACACACACACACGCGAATACCCATTTGTTTGTGCAAAACCAACAACTATTAGAAAACAAGCCAGGCGTTGTTGTATTTTTGTTGTTATATTTTTCAATTGAATACCACCGTCCAATTGCAAAGCTAAGATGACAAAAAAAGTGTGGAGACACACACAAACACATACCCACAATAGAATGCATACCATTGCAAATACACCAAATGCCAATAGAAAAATGGGTGTAACAGAAGATGATGAGGTAGAAGAAGAAAAAAAGAGAGCACAGCTAGAGTGTGTTTTTGTTGCTGTCATAGAGTGGAGAGTGGGGTGGAAATACTTTTTTTTGCAGAATGGTGAAATGTATGAATGAATGAACACGAGCGAATGATTGTAAAGAAATGGGTGGAAGAAAGCTAAATGAAGGCATTAGAACAAATCAAATAAACTTAGTATGAAATGAGACATTTGGTTGGGAGGAATAATACTTGGAATATAGCGTATGTTATTGCAAAGCTATATTAAGGAGAAGAGTAATGGCTAAAGGAAAAAAATGTCTCCATAGCATTTTTTTCTTAATTTTCGTATAAAAACGTATATGTTTTAAACAAAACTGGTTTCTTTTGCGTGTTGCGTCCTTTTTTCTTTGAGTTAATATACAAAAAAATATACTTATTCTTAATGTGGAAAAAGTGCAAAAAAGAAATTATATAGAGGTTTTCCTGTAATTAACACCTGTTTTATTAAAGAAAAAATATTTGATTTTTTTCATGGATATCCTGTTAACCTTCTGTTTCTTTTCTTTTGACTGATGTCTGTCTACTTAATTTTTGTGAAGCAGCATACAAGTGGTCAACAAAAACAAAAGCTTTGCTTCGTAGGCGACGACATCGTTTTCTCGTTGCACAAAAAAAGAAATTGTGAAGGTTCACTCACCTTTTGTCCGCTACTGGCTGCTGAGCCATTACTAGCGGTACCATTCTTAGGATCTTTACGCAAATCTTCGGGTTCTCGTTTAATGCTAATCGTGGCGGTTGCATTGGATTGCTGCTGCTGTTGTTGTGCTCGTTGTTGATCAGCTGCTGTTATGACGACAGTACCCCCACCGCCACCAGATCCACCATTGGCGGCGGCTGCACTGGCTGCCACAATGGCCGATTGTTGTTGGTGGGCAATGTTTGAAGCTGTGGTGACATTTGCGCCGGCCGCCGCGGTTGTTGTGGCCGATGGGTGTGAGCCAAGCAATAAGCCTTGTATCTCGTTTTGCGATAGGCTTGACACATCGAGAGGTGTGGTTTGACCGTTAAGTTTGCTAACAGCCGAACTGGGAGCACTAAGCACACACACACATACAAATTTGCGACAAATTTTTGTTTGTTTGACGACGATAGAAGTTTTCAATTAAATTGGAAAAGAGGGAGAAAGAAAATAAAAAAAAAATATTTAAATTAATAAAAAATGTTGCATATTATAAAATTTCAATATCATTGAGAGCCAAAACGAAATCACACACGCACGCACATATGGAGAAATATATTGCACAATTCTCGTTGGAGAGTATTTGGGGTACCTGTAAAGAATCTTTATGATATTTAAAATAATATATAATATACTGATTCCCAAATGCAATAGACGGATTTTTTAATTTAGTAGAAAAATAATAATTTATACAATGAGAAAAATAATTAAAATAAGAGATTTAAATAAAAATTTATTACAAATTAATTAATATTAAACAATAATATAATACAAATCATCATTAAGTATTAAATATATTATTATTAATTAAACTAAATAGTATATTTTTAATAATTATTACATAGTTCAAACTTAGTTTACAATTTAATGCTAAAATGCCTTAAGGTTTATACCAAGATTTCCTCTTGTAAGTAAAAGAGGCAACATCCCGAATTTCTTTTGAATCGAAATACACAAAAACTTACAGATGAACATCAGTTTTGTTAACAAGTTTAACGGTTAGTTTTCATATTGAAAATTATGAAGTTGTCCTTCATAATCACAAAAAAAATCGGTAAGGATATTTCGAATTTTAAGAAAAATAATGTCTTTAAATTTAGAGTTATTAGAATTATTTTAAAAAACATTCCAGGACTATTAGATTTATAGAAGAATATTTTTTCCAGGGCTATTTTTTCTAGTATTATTAGGGAATAACATTTTTAAACTAATATTTTTAGATCTATTTAACGAAAATTTATATATGAACATTTCGTCTAGGTTATTAGTGTATCGATTACGTCGTTGATTTTTTTTTTGTATATTATTTTCTCGAAGACTATGATATTTTCATATACTATAATATTTTTCAAGAAGTACTACCCCTGTATTTAAAAAAAATACCCTTACATACATCTCTTATGACTAATTAATCAGGAAAAGCCGATGATTTTTCTTCAAAAATTGTTGAAATTTTACGGAACTAAAATTTCATTAAAGGCCGCATTTCTCTATGCGATTGGCATTTATTTTCAATTGGTATTCCGCATGAGCAATTTTCATTTTATTATAATTGTACATTGACACTTTACACAATTGGCTAGCTGCCTAGTTGAAGCTTTTCCTTTGTTTCTTCAATTTATGGCAATGGAAATTGCCTTGAACACAACAACAGCAGCAGTAGTAGCAGATAAAATGGCAAAAAAATCCTTTGGCTTTTTCGCGATATTTTGCCAATTATGGTGATAATGATCATAATTGTGTTTTTGTTGTTATACTTTTTTATGGTCTACAACAACAACAACCATAACAATGGAATAAAATGATGATCATGGAATGTAGCGTATTGAACAGCTATGTATATATATATTTATAATGATATTGCTTTTGATCATAATATTGAGTAGTGAGTGTTTCGGTAGCCAAAGCATTGTTGTTTCCACTGATTCCATTGGCAATGATAATAGTGCAAAAATCCATATAACAACTTAATTGAACTTGAATCGGGTGGTACTACTAGTAAAACAAACCCAAACAACAAAAAAGAAAAACTCGAAAAAGTTTCAACATTAAAACTAACCCGTTTCCATGTTGCAGCATTAACTGCCGGTGCTGCCTGCCTGCACTGCATGTTGCATAGAGTAGTGTGAATATTACTGCATAACACACATAAAACATAAACAATTCTAAGCACGCTCTGCTCTTGGGCTTTGTTTTCTGCAAGGCAGCAACGAAGCATTCAATATAGTTTTCATGGTGGAAAACAGTCAAAAAGGAACCCAAGTGGCCGGTCATTATATTGACGTTGTAACCCGTGTCGTTTGCTTGTGTGTGGTTGAGGTTCGTAATAATAATAAAAAACTCCATCCTTGATGCTGGAAAAATTGCACACACCGAAAAATAAACAAACAAAGAATGGCATAAAAATCAATCAAAGCCTGTATTAATGCAACCAACATGCAGAACAGGAGTGCGGTGGCCCGTCAGTCAATTGAGTAAGGCTCTCGGCGGGTTGGTAGGTAAGGTAAACAAACATAAAAATCAGCCAACCACAAAAATCATGTTTGGTTGTTGTTGATTTTTTTTTTTGCACAACAACAAAAATTGCAGGCACGCGTCAACAATTTAATGCCACAAATCACATTAACAACAACAACAACAGTAACTGTGAAAACTAAGCAGCAGTGGAGAAGTTTTACAAATCAAACACGTTCCCACAAAACAACACACAGAGACACGCTATAAAACAATAGCCCAACCCAAAGCAGAAAAGCAGCAGCGACAACTACACGTAATCTAAAGGAGAATCTAGTCTAAAATTACTTTGGCATCACAACACAACACACCAACTTGTATATCTAGATGAGTGACTTGAGCAGCAGCAAATGACGGCTGGTGGCAATTGTCTTTTTGTGACTTGTCAGGCAATCAAGCAACCAAACAGTCATCCAATCATTGTGGGAAATCTGAGGGTGTTAAATGCAAAAAAATGAAATTGTGTAGTTTGATTCAAAAAGTATAATTCAAAATTATGCCAATTCAAATTAAAAACAAATCGGAACAGGTGTTGCTAGAATATTTAATTGAATTTTTGCTTAGATTTGAAATTCTTCTTACAACTGACATGCACAGTTGCCAGCATGTGTGATGGAATCACATGGCAACACATAGCCAAAGACATAGAAACCGTAAAGACTCGACAAAATGCATTTTGACAAAATAGTTTATGAAAACATATCCAGGGGGAATCAGACATAACAGAGGCATGTTAAGAATAAAAACGCCAATACGCGAAAATGTCTGTATAAAATGTAAATAAAATCAACACATTGTGTTTTCATTTTATAAGCTTAAGATATAGCACTAAAACCGTTTAATAGTGTTCGCTCTGTTGTTATGATATCTTGTTATTATTATTTGGTCTTTGACATTGAATTGTCATGCTTGTTATTATTATTTGGTTTTGATTGAAATTAATAATTCATTAAAATCCGAAACCGAAAAATCTAAAAATATTTAAAATATTTTTTGCAGACAAATCATAACACATGTCATTAATATTTCATGGCATATTATGTGTGCGGAATGGTTATGACTTTTTATGGTATTGTTTTTCGAAGACAACATTTTTTTTGAAACAAAAACAACATGTAATCAGAAAATATTAACAACTTAATTATATAAAAATGTGTTTAAAAAATATTTTTTTTATAAAAAATTTTTTAAAAATATATTTAATGTAGAACTTTTAGGGCATGGATATTTTCAAGAATATTTTTAAGATTATTTGGTTTGAATTTTTGAAATAAAATTTATTAATGAATATTAAGGCTAAAAAATAATATTTTTCCAAGGCTATTAGGACATAGATTTTTAATTAAATATTTAACACAATATTTTTTTTTCAGGGCTATTGGGGCGAGATTTTCAAAATAATATTTTTTCCAGGGCTATCAAAGTGTCGAATTTGAAATAATATTTTTTGAAGGCAATCCACTCCTTAGATTTTTGAAGAAATAATATTTCCAAGATCATTAGAGCGCAGATTTGTAAAAGAATATTTTTCCAATGGCTATTATAGAGAAGATTTTTAAAAGAATATTTTTCAATGGCTATTAGGGCGTGCATTTTAAAAGGAATATTTTTCTGGGACTATTTGGTCGTGGATTTTTAAAGGATATTTTTCCAGGACTATTTGTGCGCTGATGTTCTCTCAGAATATTTTTCAATGACTATTTGGGCGTAGATATTCTCCCAGAATATTTTTCAATGACTATTTGGACGTAGATATTCTCCCAGAATATTTCCCAATGGCTATTTGATCGTAGGATTTTAGGTCGTGATTTTTTTAAATAATATTTGTCAAGGGCAATTTTTTCCATGGCCGTTAGGAATATATAACAAGAAATTTTTTCCAGAGCTGTTAGGATGTACTGAATATTGGTAATATTCGGAAAATATGTCCGTGCAAGGAAAAGATGCTATCACGAAATATTACCCAGGCTCGGAATAAATAATTGATCAGGTTAATTTTTTATCTTCTTTTTGATCAGACCCTCGTATTTTCCCTCGTATATTGAACGGTATTCCATAATTTTTTAAAAATCATTTTTATGGACCACCTACTATAAAAAACGCATTTGTCTTTTATTACCGAAAAAATTAAATAATTATACATTAATATTTTATTTCTGATAAAGGCACACTAAAACCTTTCACTTTTGCATCCTCCAAAAAACATTTTGAATGCAATTTATTTTTATTATTATTTTCCCCTGCAGTTATATAAACGTGGCATTGAGGACACAAAAAAAATATATTTTTTTTTAAGAAAAAAATTATAAATTTCCATTATATCTACATACATCATCATTAATATTAGCGACTATTTTATTTTGAATTTATTTTGTATTTTATTTTTGGAAATTTTTTTCTATAATGTTGATTTTTTCAACACCGTGATGCGTTAATGGTTTTTAATCCTATTAACAGTCACACGCTAACTTTTCAACGCTACATTGAACGTTGGCGTTACGATGCCGCCACTGCCGCCATCTTTTCTTCTGTACACCATGCGAGGCGATAATGCTGATGAAGAAAATGTGAATTGATTCTTTTTTGTTCTCTACAGCACTCGTTCGGATGCTCTGCTCCTTGTATTTGACCATTGTGTGGTGGTGTTTGTGGTGGCACAGTTTGAAAATGTCGTGACTTCATAAAATCTGAAAATTATGAAAGACGTTGATGTGTTTTTTATGAAAAAAAAATTCGCCCAATGCCGATCAGCAATAGCAACAGCATGTTTATTATACTGCCACAAAATTAGCTATGTATTGGTAAGTGCATATCATGGTCAGTTGGGTTTTTAATGGCAAC